CCAGGATGGTCTCGATCTCCTGACCTCGTGATCTGCCTGCCTTGGCCTCCCAAAGTGCTGGGATTACAGGTGTGAGCCACCACACCTGGCCTCAGTGGAGGGCATTTTCAAGGATGTACAGCAGGGGTCAGGGAATCATGGCCCACAGTCCTGTATTTGTAAATAAAACTTTATTGACACATGGCCATGTTTTCTCATTTGCATATCACCGCAGAGTGGAGTGGCTGCCACCCAGGCTTCTGGCCGCAGAGCCAAGACATTTACATGCTCGCCCCGGGCAGAGGAAGGGGGCCCTGCTCCAGGACGGCGTTTCCGTGATCTCTCTGGGGAATGGACCTTCAGGTGCAGGGCTAGCCACCTCACTTTTTAAGTACGAACAGTCTTTCACTTTTCCCATTGTGGATGCAAACTCTTTCTAAAACGTGGCACGTGCTTCTCTGCCTTCTTAGACACAGATTTTAAATAACATTAAATGTCAGTGTCGGTGGCCGCAGGACAGGAGGGCCTTCCGTCACAGCAGGCATGCGGCTGCGGGAGGCGCCCACGTGCCTGGGACTCTGCCCTTCCTGCGTTCACAGCCGCCTGTGGCTCGTCCTCGGAGGCCTCTTTGCTCTCTGCAGAGTTGAAGCACCTGAGCCGGTCAATGGGACGGTCCTGGGCAGGAGTGTGGCCTCGCTGCCTGGGCCTGTGGAGGTGGCTGCCCTGCTGGCCTCCACCCTGTTCTATTCCTCTTGCCGCTCCCCTGCTCCTTTCTCCCGGGACAAACGCTGGGGACCATCCTCATCCCGGAGGATTCCTGGGATCCCAGTTAAGACCTGGCGCCTCCAACACGTGAGCAAGGCGGGAGAACGTGGGAAGGACTGGCAGCCTGGCAGGTGGGGGTGGCCGGGGGAGCTGGCCCTCATCGGGGCTGCTGGTTCAGGTGTGACTTCAGAGGACACCTGGGGACACGTGTTCCAGGAGGAGGGGCCCCAGGCTGTAGGTGCCCAGAGGCTGCTGATACGCCACCAGCCCCTCCAGGATCAAGGGCTGTGCTGACATCAGGCCTGCCCAGCGGAGAATCACTCGGAAATTCCCTCCAAAGCTCTGGAACCCCAAGCACTGCCTCCATTTCCCAGGGGCCTCCAGCTCGCAGAGCCCTGCCTGCCGGGGGCTGGGCCTGCGGGGGGGAGACCCTGATTTTCTCCTTCATCCAAGGAACAAAGAAGAGTGTGCTCTCCCGGAGACCTCTCCCGCTCAGAAGAGGACCTGGGAGGGTGGTGCGGGCCCGGAGGCCCCAGCAGGATCCCGCAGCGCTGGAGGAGTCCCCTCTGAGAGCTGGGCTTGCACGGCCCTGCGCTCCAAGGATTTAAGGAGTCAGCGACCCCAACCCCATTGACAAGCCACACAGAAACGAAAGCGGCCACACCCCTCCCCAGAAAGCAGATGCTGGGAGCCCCCAAGACGCAGAGCACCCGGCCTGTTTCACAGCTTCCTGTCCCGAACCCGCGCCGTGAACTGGACGTGCCTTCCTGCGCTTTCCACCCTTAATGTACCCCAGTTTTAATTTTAACTTTTCGTTTCAGTGCCTCTGATTGAAGATGGCAAGTGTTGACTGAAACCAAAGTTAAAATTGTATTGACTGAAATTCATAAAACCAAATGAGTGTGAAAGAAATGTAAATAATTAAGCTCTCAGGTGATGTTTCCATGCGTTTGTGGCTCGCACATCTGCACATACATGTACCGTGTGCTGGTCACCACGTGGGTCTTGCACAGCGAGGTTTCAGTGTGCGTTATTCTCCACGTGTTCTGAACTCCGTGTGGAAGGACGTGGCTCCGGTGCCCTTGTCTCAGCTTCTCCGTGGATTGTGTCTTACACATGCTCTGCTGTTTACGTCCCTATCCCAGGTTCACGGACACTTGGCTCACTAGGCCTCCCTGTGCACGTGTGCAGACGACAGGCCCACTGTGGGCCTCCGGGGACGTGGGTCCCGACTCCACCCACACGGGCAGCGCCCACTGCCTCCTTGCCATCTTACGTAGGCATGAGCTGAGCCTTTGTTGTTGTTGTTAGAGACGGAATCCCTCTCTGTCGCCCAGGCTGGAGTGCAGTGGTGTGATTTTGGCTCACTGCAACCTCCGCCTCCCAGGTCCAAGTGATTTTCCTGCCTCAGCCTCCCAAGTAGCTGGGATTACAGGTGTGCACCACCACGCCCAGCTGATTTTTTGTATTTTTAGTAGAGATGGGGTTTCATCACATTGGCCAGTCTGATCTTGAACTCCTGACCTCAGGTGATCCACCTGCCTTGGCCTCCCAAAGTGCTAGGATTACAGGCGTGAGCCACTGTGCCCGGCCACGATGGCTTTTCTTGTTATCAGGGTCTGTGGAGGATCAGAGCACTCAATGGGCCCTTAGTGAAACTCACATAACATAAATTAACCACACTAAAGTGCGTGCCTCAGCAGCGTTTAGACCATCACAGTGTCACGCAGCCGCCACCTCCATCTCGTTCGAAATCATTGTCCTCCCTCCCCATGGGGACCCCGTACCCACTAGGAGCCACTCCCCTCCCCCGCCCCAGCCCCTGCCTCCACGATCCACTTCCTGCCCCCGTGGACTTGCCTCTTCTGTTCCTTGCATGCGGACGGGGGGCGGCCTCTTGCACCTGGCTCCCTGCCCTCGGTGCCACGTTTCCACGGTTCCTCCACATCTCAACCTGTGTCAGCCTCGCTCCTTCCACCGGAATCGCGGTCCACAGCCTGGATGGGCCACTCTCCATGTATCCACCTGTCCCTCCGTGGCTGCCTGGCTGACTCACTTCTGATGCTAACAAGAACGAGAGGCGTCCGGCTGGACTAAGGCCCCGGAAGCTGAGAACCGGAGGGCGGGCGCGGGCGTTGGGCAGAGCAGCTCCAGCAGGCAGGACCTGGGGCCTCCACCCTGCACCCCTGTGCCCCGCGTGCGGCAGAACCGCCCCGAGGGGAGGCTGTCTCCACGGTGACAGGCACTCCCACGCGAGCCTCAGAACCCTCCGCCCTGCCTTTTTCCGTAATCACCGCAGGCATTTCTCGGGCAGGTCAATCCGGTTCCAGCTGGTGCTGCCTCCCTTGTCTCGTGAGTTTATTTTAGAACCCTGAGCAATAATGAAACGACACTACCCTACAACAGACGTGGCAGAGGATCTGGCTGGCTCTTCACTTCATCAGAGATCACCCCGAGATGATTGTGGTTGTTAAGAAAACGGGAGAGATACCTGTCGTAAGCGATGAGCTATAACTTACCCAATCAAACGTTGCTATTAAAAATCAAAAAGGGTATTAAAATTTCATCACTGTTAGGTTTGTGGCCGAAATCTAATGACAGAACAAATTGGATGTTTGCACAAAGAAAAGGATAATCTCTTTTTAATGCTCCTGTTATTCTTGGACAATTGATGGGCATTTATTCCTGACGGCTAAGTCGTTGGGGACAGAATTGCTTCTTTTAAATTATGACAGAGGCCAACTTTTTGCTGTTGTTTTTATGGAAGAATGCACTGACACGTAGAGGAGGATCGGAGAAGCTCAAGGCCTGCAGGGCGGCCTTGGCCTTGACCGTGGCTGCAGGGGCCTTTGGCCGGCCTGCCGTGGCATCTGGGGACAGCCTGAGGCTTTGCTGCTTCCTCTGACAGCTCCTGAGGCCTCGGAAGAAATGAAGCCCTCCATGGACATGGAAATTGTTTTGAGGCAAAATATTTCAGCAAAGATGAGAAGTTCCTCCTTCCTTACAACACACAGACTCTGCCTGCTCCTTGCTGGTGATGTGCTTTTCTTGCCTCTTTTTCAATCCCTGCCACCTTCCAGGCACCCAGTAGAAAGCCAAGAGGGATGAATGAATGAGCCCGCGGCATCAGCCACACTGGCACACCAGCTTATCCTCCCACTCCACTCTGCAGATCCTGCCTTCACCACTGCTGTCCATGCGGCCTCTTCCTGGGGGATTTGCAGCTCCAAGGCACTCTCAATACATATCAGAAAAAATAAAACTAGCATACCAATGCATGATTTCACAGAGATGGGGCCAGGCTAAGTCAGCTGACATTTTAGAATTATTACAGGAAGCGTAGTACAGCTGGCAATCTGTTACACGTAGCTACACAGGCTGTGTACTTGCAGCTCCAAGCTGTGGTGTTCAGAGTCTGCCATTGACAAGGTTCTGTGGAGTTGAGCAGTGCACAACCTATGCAACTGCCCAGTGCAGCCGTGGTTCCTGATACACAGTTAGGATGAAGCATGGGGGAGGTGGGCAAGTGACTCACTCGAGCTTGGGAAATGATGTTCAAGGCAACATCATTAGGTAAACGGATCTTTTTTCAGGGGAGGGGGAGACAGGATCTCACTCTGTTGTCCAGGCTGGAGTGTAGTGGTACAATAGCCGCTCACTGCAGCCTCAACTTCCCAGGCTCCAGTGATCCTCCTGCCTCAGCCTCCCTAAGTGCTGGGATAATAGGCGTGAGCCAACTGATCCTCTTTTTTAAACCTCTACACTAAGCTGAATTCAATGCAGTTTCTGTCATCTATTGGCGTTCAGTGTTTGGACGCTGTCTGGGCTGAGTGCTTCACCAGGCTCCAGGGACTCAAGTCCTGACAGCTGGAGGAGCAGCAGCCCCTCACCTTGGGCACAGGGACCTGAGTGCGCAGGGAGGAGGCACAGCAGGGAGGGGTGGCGGGATCTCCCAGGCTCTCCTGGCTCATGGCCCCGCAGGCAGGGCTCAGGCCTGCACAGCGAGGTCCTCACGCCGCCATCTCTGCCTCCCAGGACCCCGGCCATGATCGGCTGCTCCTTCGTGGTGGACCGCGAGTACTTCGGAGACATCGGGCTGCTAGACCCTGGCATGGAGGTGTACGGTGGCGAGAACGTAGAACTGGGCATGAGGGTGAGTGTGGTCACAGTGTCCGGGGACAGAGTGAGGCTGAGTGAGGCCGTGGCATCTGAGGACAGGGTGAGGGCGAATGCGGCCGCGGTGTCTGGGGACAGGGTGAGGGTGAGTG